AAGATGAAGATGACTTCACGGTTTCCAAAGGAAAGGACACAACAAGCTTGCGAAGCTATTCGAAGAAGGGAAGTAGTGCACTTGAAGCTAGCTGCGACATTGACGAACGAAAGCAACCGCGAAGCTCGACGCGAAAGCCGCCGAATCGGGCCCCATCTCAAAAGACGTCCGCTGACGATAGCGCAAAGCTCATAGGTCGCGCAACTGCGATGGACAGGGTTGCAGGCGCCGGCAAAGAGTTCAAGAGGTGGAGGTGATGATGTCGGAGGGGCTCTCGGTACCTGGATGCGGGGCGGGGCAGCTTCCAGCGCCAGCTTACCAAGAGCTTACAAGCAGTGGCGGGCGTTACCGGACAAATATCCTTCCTTTGCCAGTCCATATCCTCATCATGAAAATGCTTGACATGTCTACAGTTCCGCTCCCCAACTATCTTTCTTCACTCATTGATCTGCTCTTAATGACTGAACATGCGGCCTGTTGGCTCACTATACACCAGTTATGCCATCATAATTTTGGCTTCTTCATATGATAGCAGCTACTAGCTGCACTCGTGTGCCACTCACTATGCCCCGAAGTTCATCGACAGCTAGTTCTCGAATAGCTATCACGTCGACACCGGCCTGGTCATCTTCCGGAACACGGCACCGAGATTCGTCTCGATCTGTACAACTGCTTCGCAATTAGCCTAAAGGATCTGTGTCGCTCAAGCTGCAGGAACAACACAGTTAATACACGTGCATATGCTGAGAACGAGTTGGATCAATTTCTTCCATATTGCTGTAAAGCGGATCGTGACAGTAACCTATGCGCCGTGATTGTTCCCGCCCATCAACCCAAACGCCGGCCGCGTACCGTCAATCCATGATAAGACCAGGAAAGTGAACATGACTGAGGAAAGTGAAGGGTAACTCTTATTCTACTGTGTTCTCACAGTAGACAGAGGAAAGTGAAAGCTGTTGAACAACTCCATGTGAGATTAGACGTTGTTCTTGGGGTTCTCTGGTGAAGCCTTCCACTGTTAAGTGTTAGCATGGTTACTCATCATTATACGGAGATGACGTACCTTCTTGCCAAGCTCTTGCTGTTGCTCCTTGAAAGAGAGATCCTTGTACTCATCGCGGTGGGCCTTGACTGACATCGTTCGTTAGCGGATCGGTCGTCCCATGAGGTGTTGTTCTTGCGCCTGGAGGAACGCGTCCGAATAACGCGTCAAAACGCGTCAAACGATGCAGACTTACAGTATGCTTGCATCTTGATCATCGCGTTTCTCGCGTTGCCCTTCTTGGCGATGCGACCGCCTTTAGGACCAGCCTTCTTGACACCCGCGGTGCTGGCCGGCTTCGGTGTCGCAGTCTTGGTAGTGGTAGCAGCCATGACGAATAGCAGATACTGATTGAAGGTGGTATTAGTTTGTGAGCGGAGAAAGTGGGTGGAAGTAAGTCGCAGAGGTAGAGCTGTCGTTGTGGTGTTGATGAGAGGTGAGCGTGGACTGTAGGTTTATTGACAGAAGGTGCGACCCAGACCGCGCTAAGCTACACTTGGCCTACCACCCTACTTTATGGATTCGATAGCCTGCCTGGGTATTTGCGCGACGTTAGAAACATAGTCTCGCGTGATTGGCGCAGCTGTTCACTTGAAACATGTAGCAATGTGCGCCCCCAACTGTCTTTCAGAAGCAAGGTATGCGGCATGGAACGCATGATTGTGTCTCCGGAAAGAGACATTGCCATTGCGCGAGCCATGAGCTGACATGAGCGAAATTGTCGCCTTTATAGTCTCACTTTCGTTCGAAGTCAACCGCTCGTCAGACTATGCGGATCCTCGTGTATCTACGACGCAGTTCAATCTCGTGCAATGAATGCGCAATGGCTTCCTCGGTGCTTAAATACGTCGCCCTGTGGTTGATCTCCCGAGAAGTCTAGCACTCTGCAGAGGGACTTCCAACTTAGGGTCCCGGCATCTGAGATACCGAAAGCCGTGTCGATCACCGGTATCCGAAGGCATGCACAGAGGTCCAGCTCTTGAAAACAGCGTGGCAGCATTCCGCCGAACGAGATTCAATTGTAGGGCTGTCTCCAACTACGCTCTCAAGAAACATCTGCCGTCTTCTCTTCCGTTATACGACGATGCCGAGCATCCTGAGAGTCGGTGCCCCCTGTGATCAGAACCGGCCTTTCGATGCCTCGAGAGGCAATGCTGAACTTCCGACGGTGGCCACTCGGGCGCTCTGTGAGGCTGGGAGCGCGTGGTCTCGCTTTTCCGCGAGCGCGTCCGCCGATGACTGGTATCTCGTATGCGCCAGCGCGACAGCAGTATAGGATAAGGTCGTAGACGAGCAGCGCTGCCCATGGGCCGATAGCTACGAGGCCGAGAAAGAGCTATTCGGTATCAGAAGGCAGCTCGCAATTAGAAATGCCGAGCATTACTCACGAATATGCGCGTGATCCAGGTCTCAACCACGGCCAAGTTCGCAGGTAGAATAGAAAGGAATCCCATGGCGGGGCGTAGCGGAGATTGTACACGGACGGGACGAAGATAGAGATAAAGGGGCGTCAATTGGAGGTGCAGAGGTACGAAGGGGCACAGAGTAGTCTCAATCAACTGTTGACACTCAGTAGTCGAGAACACAGAATGCGGTTGATGAAGATGTGTGATGTTCAAGTTTAGTGGAGAGATTGGCCGCCATGAAGCCGCCTCCAGCGGCCGCCGCGAAGTGGATCGCGCTGTGGGCCGCTTTCCCCAGCTCGGCACCGGCACATCACCGACCAGACCCCCTCAACACCAACCACTAAACATCAGATGCAGCTGACATCTCAGCCCTATATGTGAGGCTGTAGAATGGTTCTTCCACTGATTGGATGCCGATTTGGCGTCGATTTTGCGAAGCCAATAAGACATGACAGCCATACCGGCACCCCTCCATGGAGACAGCCCCAAGCACCTCTGTTATTATACAACTCTCTTTTTATACACATTCTAGCACGCTGGATTGCACTCACTTCTGAAAACTGCTAGCACACCCTGACGTACCAGACGCTGACCAGCAGGCTCCCCAAAGACGGGTGCTTGGCTCTGCCCGCGTGCCCACGGTTGCCTGGCCCTACCCACCCCAACTTCTGAGCCTTGTCAGACTACCCACGAAATCTCTCCATTGAGTCAAAGGCTTTGAACTTTTGGCATACCTTACGAACTACCCAACACTTCGCACAACTTCTCAGTCGCTTACATCAGCACCTTGATTTGATTGCGACGCCTCACCAGCAGCCTCGCTGCTACACCCGGAGGCCTCACATTAACCACCAAGCTGCATAGCACTCCTGAGGGTAGCGCAGGGACTTCCAACTCGCTTCTTTGTGCATTCCCGTCCAAATTCAACATGGACGGTCTCTCCTTTTTAGACGAGCACATGGAGCGGGGCCAGAGCAATGCGACGTTGAAGATAGTCCTCCCCAGCGGAGAGGTCCGTCAGATCTCCGATCGCATCTGCCCGTTCAAGTTCTTGGACAGATGTCAGTAATGTCCCGTACAGTTGCATGCCAACATCTACTGACTTCGTACACCCATATACTAGGTCCGCTCCTGTACCACGCCTTTGAGTACGGTTTCCAGAGTCGCTTACAAGCGAGTATTGAGGCCCTATCCGAGCATGCTGTCGTCTCGCTTCTTCGGTTCTGCTACACTGGTAGCTATCTTCCGCCTCGAGCGGACTATGATCCAGTGTCGTTTCTTCCACATGCCGAGACGTACAAGATAGCCGAGGATTTCGATGTTCCGGAATTGCAACTTCTCGCGCATGGCAACTTCTCGTGCCAGCTCGAATTCGCCTGCTGTGTACCCGCCGCGCCCCATGACTTGGTCGAGACTATTCGTTTTGTATATCGTCACTATGCCAGTCAGCAGGCTCGTCGGGAGCACGACCTCGTTCCGTCACTTCTCAACTACTGCATCTCAAATTTCCTCTACCACAAGCTAGGAGAGGATGTTGAGTTTCTCAAGATCGCTGCTGAAATCCCGGACTTCCGCCAGGACCTATGTCGCACGAACATGGAACGCAATTTCCAGGATGAGTGTAAGACACTACAAGTAGATTCACATCCTACGCTAACTATCATAGGTGCATTCGACATTGTGCGGTTATGTCTCGACACTCTCCAGGTTCAACCTTGCGATCGTCCGACTCTCCTTGCGTCAAGGGACCTACCAGATGAGATGATGTGCGATACTCTTCCGGAAACACCCAGCCCTTCATGCTACCCATCTGGCGAGAACTTTACAGCTGGAGAGACCGATCAAGACAACATGGTCGATTCCGGAATCCTTACATTTGTTCGTCGCCCCAAGGTTGCACAGCCAGCTACGATCCAAGAGTCCGACGAGGAGTGTCTCGAATACGATCAGGGATTCACGTTGGTGTCCCGCCCCAAAGTCCAGAGCCTGAATACGTTCGACGAACCGATGTCTAGCCCTGAGTTGACTTCTCGTCCGGTGGTCGACATACTAGCCGCGACTGGCACCGACTACTCCAGCGACGACGAACCAATGTCCAGCCCCGAGTTGATCCCCACTCCCGTAGTTGATATACTATCCGCTACCGGGACCGACTACTCTAGCGATGAAGAGTGGACACAGATCTGATAGGGCCGATACGCCCCGTGGCTAGAGGGCGCTCTGGTCATGATGGCATGCGGCGTTATTGATGGGATATAGGTATCTCACGAAGTTATTGATATTGAATTTGCTTTGGCATCATGGTGTTTCAAGTTGGGTTTAAATTGTTTAGGAAGGGGCGTTTCACTTGTAAGGAATCACACAAGGGAAAAGTCGCATAAGCGCAAGAGTCTGCTTTGAGAACTCATTAACACATTGTTTTACATCCAAACTTTAAGAACTCTTGTACTAGAACATAGCAGTACTATCTGTTCCTTTTTTTCAATATTATCAAGTCATGTCTCTGAATCCACAGTCTTCACCATGCGCCAGGGATCGTAGTGTAATTCCCTCTATCCTCCGACACCACTGCCTGAGAAGCCCGTTGCGGCCTGGCCTCCCATCTCGAATACGGCACCATCTCTGACATCGCATTCCGCTGTACAGCTCTTCCTTGCGCGTCGTGATGTTTCCTCGGCGCATCGATATCGATACCAGAAAAAGCTCCACAGCTCGAGGTAAAATTTGGTCGTTGCGCCTGACCATGCTTCGCATCCTGGCACTGAATTTTCTTCTGTCTGCTTTTCGTTGTGAGACGCACCGTGGGGAAGCACAAGCGCTGAACGGTTTCGATGGCTCTCTTATCAACGAGGTATGGATCCCATTGCCGGAGCATGCTCAAGACGTCAATGACGAAACTTTGGCAGTTGGTAGTGGCCACTTTGTATGTGAACTCTCGTAGAACCCTCTCTTTTGCCGCTTCAATCTTTCTGAACGAAGATTGTGCGCCGTGGATTATTGTGGCGTCTGATCCCTTGTCCATCAAATCACCGATCTTGACAAAACTCTCCCGGTTGCATTCGAAGACGTTCTGGTGCGAAGCGCTTCTTGGGAAGGTTTGGTCAAGAAGTAACGCGCCGCGGTTTGGTCGCTCGTTTATGTAGTTTACTTCCCATGTTGTACCAGTCAGCTGGTTTGTGCCATCGTCAAGGAAGAGTCTCCAGTGTGCGGTGTTGGAGCCTGGGCTTGCGCTGGTGAGGTAGAGTTGGCAGATTTTGGAGGAGTAGCGTGGGACACTGCTGGACGAGCTTGATTCGATGCTCTTGCTGGCTGAAGAACCCATATCTTCGATAGGGTAGAGTTGCTCTTGTCTTAATGTAGTGTTGGTTTGTGATGGGAGGATGGAAGAGTTGGAAGACTTTGGAAAAGGAGATGAGAAATTGCAGAGTATTTATGCGAGGCGAAAAATGAGTCAAGGGCAAAACTTTGGCATGTTATTATCTCGGAACGATCTATTGGGCACATGGCGGGTCCTTATATCTGGCTTGCATTCCTATAGGTAGCGTGTTAGTGGTCATAGTTGCACTATGGAACCAGAAAAAGCCAATGACCATGGCCAAAGTGTCCTGCAAATGACGTGCATCGGATTATGGATGACAGGACTCCTCATGGCTTCACAGAGACCTGGAGCGGATGGGGCAGATTTCGGGTACGTTGATTCATGTTCGCTGCAGCTAGTCTGCGAACAGAGCCGCCCATGGAGTACATGACAAACCATAGCCACAAATAATCAGATATACGAAGTCCATATGTACGGGAAGGACTTTTTTGATGTTACAGGAAAATTAGGCCACCTTATGCATTTGAGATGGCAATAAGGAATCCAGCATAAAGGAAACCGCCCTCTCGTAATGGCCAGTGGACCGAGAAGGGATCGCATCAGAAAACAGCAATTACATGGAACATCCAAATGAAACCGGGAAGCAGGAAACACATAATCAGTCTCGTGGGTCCATGCCGCACACTCAATCCTCCGTTCGTCTTTCGGCTCCGTCACTGCATAATCCATATCCGTGGGCATGATGGTCCCGGAGGTTCGTGTTCCAGGAGATGAGCAGTCTTCAGGAATGTTGACACTCACTTGATCGATATCAGCAAGTGCTTTGAACCAGATACGCGATGGACCCAACTTACATCGTGCGCCTAGTAGCGGCGGGGTGGGTAATCAGCCGCTGCACCTTCGTAAGGTGGGCGGCCTCCGGGGCTACGGGGACGAGCACCACGTGGGGACGGTGGTCGTCCGCCTTCGTAAGGGCGTCCATGACCGTTCATGTATGGGTCATCGTAACCACGGGGAGGAGGTCGGGCCCTAGCATCATAAGGATCGTCAGGGTAACGCGCGCGCGGTGGGCCATACTCATCAGGCATGCGACCACGAGGCGGCGAACGTCCATAACCACCATCACGCCTGTCATAAAACTCGCGGGGAGGTGTGCGTCGGCGATAGTCATCGCGGCGGGGGCTGTAGCCACGAGGGGGACCGCGACGGTCGTAGTAGTCGTCATATGGCGCGGGTGGGTATCCGCCACCGCGACGGCCCATGGGGGAGCGGGATCGGTATCTATCACGGCCCCGGTCATCAGGACCACCAGGGCCTCCGTAAGGAGCGCGAGGCTTGAAAGGTGGAGGTGGGGGAGGATCGGAGACGTCCTGGATACAGGTAACTTCCTGCCCCTTGAACTCACGGCGGTCCAGCTTCTCCACTGCGGTCTTCAGATCGGCGGCCGTCTCATACTCTACGAATCTGCGCGATGGTTTAGTACGTGTGCCTAGCTACAGTATGTGTCCACTCACCCAGAGCCATCCCGTTCGCGGCCAACTTCGGAGTAGACGACGTCCAATCCAGACTGGCGGGCGAAATCTTTGAGGTCCTATAAGTTCGAAGTTAAGCGAGGCCCAAATCCAGAATGTATAACGGGAAGCAAGCGAGAACAAAGCCATTTCTGGTCCAGGAACGGTGCGCTGGCGCTAACAGGGAACTGAGGAAATCCAATGATCGGGGAGTCTGACCTGCCAGCTGGTCTCCACAGGAAGATTTGCTATTCTCATCCGGTATGGTGTGCGCCTAGGACGCGGGGGAACGCGCTCATGGGGAGTGAAGTTCTCGTTACGGGCACGCGAGCCGCGAGCGAACTGGACGATGAGGCGCTCGCCCATGAAATCGGTACCATCTTTGAATCAGTTAGAGATGCATGTCCGGACACATACACATAAGAGTTACATACGGAATGCTGCATACGAGTTAGCACGTGTTCAGCCGATCGGCGCGTAGTTGAAGCTTACCAGGGACGACATCACGAGCATCCATTGCGTCCTTGTACTCGATGAAGCCGAATCCGTTCATGAGCTTGATCTCAGTGATCTCGCCAGTGCCGTGCGACGCGAAGTGGCCTTCGACATCGGCCTTGGTGGCATTGCGCGGGAGGTTGCCTAGGTAGAGGCGCGTGGACGATACCTCGGTCATGGTAGCGGCTGTTGCGGTAGAGCTTTATCCTAAAGATAACCTAGTCTGGAGAGAATCGTGAGCAAATATCCATGAGCAAGCGGGAAGCCATCGAGGAAGCGCGCATGGTGCCTGCCAGTGACGGGGTGACTCGGTATCAAAGACGCGACGCCAGAAAGCCAGTGTCCAGCGGCGTGCGCAACTACAGGAACCAGGAAGACGCGCAAGGAATTTCCAGTGCATGCAATACAGGCGGCTAGTCGTACCTTGGAGATAGAGTCGGGCGCTGGAAGCAGGGTGGCCGTGAAGAACCTGAGAGCTTGAGGACCAGGAAGAAGCCGGGTGAGTGCAGAAGGCGCGTCCTTGAATCTGGGGCACCGGAATTAGTAAGCCCAGTATCGCGACCACGAATTGCAAGTGCAGATGAGGGCCGAGCAGCTATCGATGTAAGAGGCCCCGGCGAGGTTGATGGGTGGACGGTGACGAAGGGTGGAGAAGGAAGTTCGCCCAACGCCTCACTCGCCCTAGCGTTCCAAGCTTCGGGCACGGACATCACGTGTGCCTTGCCTCGAGCCATGTATGGGACCGCACGACCTTTCAAGGCACCCAGTGAAATGTCACTTCTTTCAAGCAGATAGTTCAATGCTGTTTGCTCATAGGATCGTGTGAACGCAGTTGAATCCCGCCCAGGCTTCAACCGCGCGCCGAACAAGGCGACTGATCACTCGATCCCTACAAACCTCGGAAGGTCACTTGGGCAGCAACCATACTCGGGCTGACGTTGAAATCTGATATGTACACACACGGTTTGCCCTAATATACAGGTCCTCTCATTGCGTGGACGGCAGCTAAGCCATGATCTCTATCTCGGCGTCCGTATTAAGTAAGTACGTACTTTGGTCCCTCGCCACCTTGGGGTGTTTGCCAGTTGATGTCCTGGTCCGGCACTTTGATATCGCAAGTCTTGCAGTGGACGCAGCTGCATACAGTTAGCGGTCTTCTAAGTAATCGCGATATCTAGACCTACTTTTGGGCGTTGATTTGGAACCTGACGCCCAGCTCTTTGCTGTCGTCCTCCACATACTCGTAGACGCCGGCGGGGCAGAACCGGTTTTCTACACCCTTGTACCTGGGCCATTCTTTCTGGGCATGCGCATCGTAGTCTTTGACCTGGAGATGGCAGGGCTGGTCCTCCTCGTGATTCGTGCCACTTCGGCTGACGCTCGTCAATATGTCGAAGCTGATCTTACCGTCCGGCTTGGGGTATTCTATCTTGGGGCACTCGTCCGCCGTCTTGGTCGCTGCGTGATCAGGCTTGCCATGCTTCAATGTCCACGGTGCCTTGCCTCGAAGAACGTAGGCCTCCAGACCAGAGTACACGATACCTCCGTAAATACCTAGTGGTGTGTGGAAAGACGGGCGCATGTTGCGCACAGTCTTTAGTTCCGACCAAATTGACGACTTGCGCATCTTGTCCTCGTAGTCATATAGAAACACGGTACCGCCGTCTGCATTGGCTTGTAGGGCGTCCCAAGTCGCCTCAGCAGCTAACATACCGGACCTCATTGCATTGTGCGTGCCCTTGATCTTGGGCAGGTTGAGCAAGCCTGCGGCGTCTCCAAGCAGTGCGCCACCAGGGAAGGCCAGTTTTGGTATGGACTGGAAGCCGCCCTCAATCAGCGTTCTCGCGCCGTATGATATACACTTGCCGCCTTCCAGTACGTCCTTGTAGTAAGGGTGGTGCTTCATCTTCTGGAACTCGCCATAGGGAGCCAACCAGGGGTTCGGGTAGTCGAGCCCAACAACGAGACCAATGCTGACGAGGTTGTCGCCAAAGTGATACATCCAGCCACCGCCATAGGTATCCTTCGGCAGTGGGTAGCCCATCGAGTGAACCACCAGTCCAGACTTGAATTTCTCGGGCTGCACCTCCCAGACTTCCTTGATGCCAAGTCCGTAGGTCTGATGTTGGCTATCTCGCCTCAGATCGTACTTCTTGATGATTTGCTTCGACAAGCTGCCATGGCAACCCTCACCAAGCAATGTGACGCGTGCATGGAACTCCATTCCTCGCTCGAATGAGTCTTTGGCCTTGCCTTCACGCGATATGCCGAGGTCGTTGGTAGCTACGCCTTGTACGACACCCTCGTGGTTGTACAGTACCTCCGACGCAGCGAACCCGGGGTAAACCTCGACACCAACTTCCTCTGCGCGCTCGCCCAGCCACTTGACCATCTGGTTCAAGCTTATTATGTAATTGCCGTGGTTGTTCATCTGCGGAGGCTTGGGTAGAGGGATGGCGCTGTTCTTGGTCATGAAGAACATATGGTCTTCTTTGGCGGGGGTGATGTCGGCGAAGCGGTTCAGGTTGTCCTCTGATCTCCAGTCAGGCAGTAGCTCGTCGAGGGCAGAGGGCTCTATCACGTTCCCAGACACGATGTGATCGCCCAACTCGCCCGCCTTCTCCAACACCAGAACCCTGAAGTCTTCATTGCCGGCCGCTGTCGCAAGCTGCTTTAGCTTGATGGCGGCGGACAGACCTGCGGGGCCACCACCCACGATGAGAACATCGACCTCGTCCGATTCGCGCTCTATCGACTTGGGATCGAATGTGTCGTCTACGGCGGCGAGTCGTGTGCGTAGCGTCGTGGAAAGAGCTCTTCTTTGGCCGGCAATCCGTACTGCGGGACGGTACAGGCTGGATACGTTTCGTCGCGGTAATGATGCACATGCAAGTGGTCTTGATGCTATGCGCGTGGATCGCGAGGCTGCGAGCAACTGTCGCGTCGCGGAAGCGGGGACTGATCTGGTGGCCATGATGCAGGACGTGTTGGAGAGGC